GATGTGATACTGCAAAGCATTATTCAATCACTCTCATACTAGAGTTCAAACATAGGTCTTGAAGTGAGTAATCAAATATTAGACCATTGATTCCACTGATCGAGTCCTCTCATTGAAAGTCCGGAGATTATGTCATAAAATAAGTCAATGGAGACCATATGATCATTATCAACGTAAGCGATTCGTGAAGATGATGATGATGATGATGATGATGATGATGATGATGATGATGATGATGATGATGATGATGATGATGATGATGATGATGATGATGATGATGATGATGATGATGATGATGATGATGATGATGATGATGATGATGATGATGATGATGATGATGATGATGATGATGATGATGATGATGATGATGATGATGATGATGATGATGATGATGATGATGATGATGATGATGATGATGATGATGATGATGATGATGATGATGATGATGATGATGATGATGATGATGATGATGATGATGATGATGATGATGATGATGATGATGATGATGATGATGATGATGATGATGATGATGATGATGATGATGATGATGATGATGATGATGATGATGATGATGATGATGATGATGATGATGATGATGATGATGATGATGATGATGATGATGATGATGATGATGATGATGATGATGATGATGATGATGATGATGATGATGATGATGATGATGATGATGATGATGATGATGATGATGATGATGATGATGATGATGATGATGATGATGATGATGATGATGATGATGATGATGATGATGATGATGATGATGATGATGATGATGATGATGATGATGATGATGATGATGATGATGATGATGATGATGATGATGATGATGATGATGATGATGATGATGATGATGATGATGATGATGATGATGATGATGATGATGATGATGATGATGATGATGATGATGATGATGATGATGATGATGATGATGATGATGATGATGATGATGATGATGATGATGATGATGATGATGATGATGATGATGATGATGATGATGATGATGATGATGATGATGATGATGATGATGATGATGATGATGATGATGATGATGATGATGATGATGATGATGATGATGATGATGATGATGATGATGATGATGATGATGATGATGATGATGATGATGATGCAATTGATCAATCAATAAAAAGTTCTAATAATCTGTCACATATTCTATTTTGAGATCAGTTAGATCATCAATACGTAAGTTCTAATTCTTCTTACTACTACTATTATTTAGTTATTAGTACTATTGAAAATCGGTATTAAAATGATTCAACGTATTTTTTCGAAAAAAACAACGCAAAGTATACATTACAACCAGACTTTTTTTTTCTATTATGTCATACTTTAGTTGTAAATAGGTAGAATAATTGTAATCTCTTACGTCATTCATTGTAAATTAACATATTGTACAATGGAATTGATTTATATTTTAATGTACTGCAAAGAATGTCATATGTTTATTCGAAAGTAAGGAAGAAAGTATATACAGTTGTGTTGTAATAAAATTATAGATTGATCATTGTGAATATTTAAAACATGTGTGGTTATATGAACTGGATAGATTGGTCGTGGAGCTTTCATCCTTCTTCTTCTCTCTCTCTCTCTCTTTATATATATAAATATGGAGAACACTTTGAACACTTCAGTTCTACTTGAAGTTTGAGTGAGACTCTAATTTATGGACGAGACAATCAGAAGCGTTTGAGGGATTTTATGGTTACAAGGCCAACTTCGGGGCTTAATGCTAACGAACGATCGGTTCATAAGAGATTTTGTGCAAAACGTGATAAGTGAGTGGCTACAACAAATAAAACGGCGAGACTATAATTTGTGGACGAATCAATCAGGTATAAGATAAAACATCTCGGATTTTGGCGCGGAAGCCTTTCTTCCATTTGGCTAAATAGATTTGTGGCATTATAGCTAATTTCAGTTCGTGATGAAAACCCTATATCTAATTCCTAACTGAGGCAAATTATGATAATTATTGCGAACTGGATAATAAAAGCACTAGTAACACTGGTTGCAGCCAGGTACTACAATATATGCGGATGTTTGGAGAGCGTACAGACCATCTCATAGGCTTGGTTAATTGCATCGTATCGTTATGTACAAGTGGCATTTTGTGTTCTCAACAATCGGAGTACACACAGGCAATCATGAAGCTATGTGTTCGAGGCTGAATGAGTATACGAAACGTTATGGTGACTCCAGAGGCTAACTATTCTGCAGCCGTATGGATGATTTCCTCTACTGCGGGCATTACGATTTTAGAACTGTGAACCTTTTTCTAACGTGACAACTTTTTGAGCCATGTATAAGAAATGTATCCAATTTATTTCTTTGGTTTTGTATAATAGGTTTTGACTCTATACTGATTGTTTGCTGATTGATCAATATTTCTCAAGCTCACCTAAGATTCGTTCAAAGGTCGTCCATAAATTATAGTCTCACCGAAGTTTGTACTGATGATATCGTTCAAAAGAATAATGAAAACTTCACGACCGAATCATTTAGCTTAAAGAACGAAACGTCATTAAAATCATCCACCTAAGCTACAAACCTTTTCATGTGTATAAGTACAGTTTCTTAACAGCGACTAGCTACTATTTATGTTCATACATAAATGTTTACGACCTATTATGCTTCCATAACATCCCTTTATATTATTATATATCTATGTGTGCTTATGAACATCGATTAATTCTGTAGTATTATTCACTTGTTTCTCGTGATGACTAGGGAAAATGAAAACATACGAACCAGAGTTTTGTTACTTCGTGTTTCTCATCAATGAGATCAGAAAGAATTTATCGTCACATACATATTAAATTCATTTATTTCCTCATGAATTTAAATAAAAATAAAGAGATATTATAAGAAAAAACTGAATGATGGCTATTAGCGGAAACCACGTTAAAGAGCGTTTCGTCTTACTTAGGACTCATCAGCTAGATGTACCTGTATTACAGTGTTCGCTCTGGGACTCGAACTGGATAATGAGATGAAGTTTGAAGCGAACGGCACGTCCAGCTGACGAGTCATAAATAAGACGAAAGGCGCATCCTGGATTCCACTGGTAGCCACCATCCATCTTTGCTTAGAATGCTTGTGAATGAAGGCAATATTGAGGCGATGCGCACAGTATGTACATATGCCAATAAGAGACTGATCAATTGTATTCCTAAACAGATCAATGGAAGATTCAAGTTAAACAATACCAAGTGAATATAAACCCCCTTGCATAAGCATGTAGGTATCAGGACTCAATAGCTAAGTGGATATCGCATTTTAAGCGAACGGTATTAAGTTCGAGTCCCAGAGTGAAACATTCTAATAAGTAGAAAACTGAATATCTGATATTTATCTTCTTCAGAAAATGAATAATTTGAAAAGATATTTTCAATCATTAAGAAAAGTAATTGGCTGACTCTATCGCAATGAATAGACAACCTGGGTTTAACCTATCTGTCCAAATTGAGTTGTTCAAATCTCATATCACTAACACATATATAAAAATCAGACCTATTTCACAACATTGTAAATATCATATTTTACTTATCCATTCAAATATACACACAAGTACATACATGTATTGTATCACTAGGGCTAAATGATGGTTAGAAAGTAGTTTGAAGAATAAGGATTATAATTCATAGTGGATGGTTAAAGTTAAGAATCAAATTTACAATTTGTCATCAGGAACTGACATCAACTAAAATGTATGAAGATGATATTTGACCAAATGAATGAATGAATTTCGCACCAAATCCAAGACCTATCTACCTCAAATTTGATTGGTTCGTTCATAAGTTAAAGTCTTACCAATATTTCTTCTTAATACTTCTTACACTAAGAAAGTCTTAATAAGATAACATTATTACATAAATTGATGAATATATTCATCTTAATAATCATGTTTTTTTACTTACTTACTTACTTACTTACTTACTTACGCCGGTTACTCCCAATGGAGCATAGGCCGCCCACCAGCATTCTCCAACCCACTCTGTCCTGGACCTTCTTTCTAGTTCCATCCAATTCTTGTTCATTTTTCTCATGTCTATCTCCATTTCCCGGCGTAATGTCTTTGGTCTTCCTCTTTCCTTCGGCCTTGAGGATTCCATGTGAGGGCTTGTCTTGTGATCGCGGTTGGGTGCTTTCCTCAATGTGTGTCCTATCCACTTCCAGCGCTTCTTCCTGATTTCTTCCTCCGCTGGAATCTGGTTTGTTTTCTCCAACAGTAGGTTGTTGCTAATAGTGTCCGGTCAAAGGACACGAAGTATTTTTCGTAGACAACCGTTAATAAACACCTGTATTTTCTGGATGATGGCTTTTGTAGTTCTCCAGGATTCTGTTCTATACAGTAGAACTGTCTTGACATTTGTATTGAAAATCCTGACCTTGGCGTTGATTGACAGTTGTTTTGAGTTCCAGATGTTCTTCAGTTGTAAATATGCTGCTCTTGTTTTTCCTATCCGCACCTTCACATCTGCATCAGATCCACCCTGTTCATCAATGATGCTGCCCAAATATGTAAAGGTTTTTACATCTTCCAAATCTTCTCCGTCAATTGTGATTGGATTGGTGCATGCTGTGTTGTATAGGAGAATCCTGCTTTTCCCTTTGTGTATATTGAGACCAACTACTGCTGAGACTGCTGCTACACTGTTCGTTTTCTCCTGCATTTGTTTTTGTGATCGCGATAGGAGGGCAAGATCATCTGCTTAATATTCATGTAACCTAATTAAATCCTTTATGATTAGAAGTCATTTGGAATGATCCCTTTTCTAAGGTCATTAGTTCAAAAATGTTGTACATACTATATCAGATCATGAAGAAAACCTACTTTCAATCAATAATTCATTCTTGATTATATAATGCTTCATAAGTTATTGTGTATTTAGACAGATTACATAATAGATGTAATAGTAATAATAGTAATAATAATGATATCAAAATGCTCACAAATTGTTACTAACCTTCAATAACCTTTGTTGTCACTGTAACTACCTCGTTTGTTGCTTCATCTTTAGTCAGTAATTTTGGTTTCTTTGATTTTGGTATTTTTCCATTATTCTGTAATATTAAAAAAATGGAATAAATTTCGATTGTATATTCAACATTATGGTTATATAATATACCCTTGTGAGCCAAGGTAAGTTTACATTGGTTTTCAGGAGAACTAGACATCATCTAGACTTTTACGTGACAACTCAAACAGTACAGCTCAATCCCGTTTAACAGAAGAGCCAGACACCATCCAAGGTTAACTTTTATAACCCGAGCAGTACAGCTCAATCCTGCTTCATAGGAGAACTAGACATCATATAGGCTTTAACACTATAATCGGAATGGTACAGCTCAATCCTGTGACGTAACCACACAGGCACTAAGCACCCTGATGGACCAATATTCAACATATATACATAATAAGTAAGTTTCACTTTTTTTAGTAAAGTAGCAACGATAAGAAATAGATACATTTAAATACATTCTACTTGTAAGTAGTTGAAAGGTAATAACGTAGGCTTTCGTTCAACTTGGTCTAATCAAATCATAATTAAATAGTTTTATAGTTGAATTCATGAATTTATTCATTCCAGATCACCAAGGAAAACCCGAAAGCACTGAACGGCTGTATCATACTAGTATTGGGCTCGTCAGAAGTGTGCATTCATGATCACACCTGTGGGATACGAACACACGACCTTCGATCTCGAGCACGAACGATTAACTTCTAGCACACTGCTCTGGCATTTGACGCTGCTAATGTCTAAATCCAATGAGTCACGATATTGAGCGACCGACTGGTTTCATGAGATATTTCCTAGAGTTCTAGTGAGAAGCCGTGATCAATGGAACTCAACCGTGTTTGTTGTGAGGCAGCAACCCACTTAAGGCAATGGTGGACGGTGGAGTTATTTCGTGGATTGGTTAAAGTTAGACATTAACACCGTCAGATGCTAGCTCAGCGGTTTAGAAGTTAGGTGTTCGTGCGCAATATTGAAGGCCCTGGTTTCGAATACCGCTAGCGAGATTGTGGGTGCACAATACTGAGGAATCTGATATTAAGATGAAAAATCCATCTAGTTCTGCCGGGTTTTTCATGTTGGTCTAGTTTTAATCGACTCGTAAATTTAACTATTAAATGAACTCTGCTTATAACAATGATAGAGGTTGTTAGATTTAAAGTTCCTCATCACAGATTATATTAAGTTAGACAAACAATGAAAACCAGGAAATACTGAGTAGTTATTTTGTTCGTGTATGAGATCCCTAAAACTAATGCCCGATTAGAGATTGAACCCATAACATTCATGGCTTTCGGTTAATCTTTTACGTGGAAATTAATCATTCTAAATTTGAATGAAGCATATCTTTGAGTTTAATGAAGTTTCTATGAACTATTCAACTCATTATTAGTAATCGATTTTGTCAACAATGTTGAAACTTAAGTAGTTAATCAATGGTGGACTAGGGTTACTTCTGGATGTTCATTAGTTCTTTGTGAGATATCAACTTGTAATGTAGAAACTATTGATTGCTTATCAGTCATAGTAATCAGTTTATTTATTTCATTATTTTCATTAGGTATGACTTTTTTGATCTACCTTTCACTTATTCACTTGTTCAATCTCTTTCTTCTTCATATTTGGATATTCTCTTTGAAATAAGTTGATTTTATCGATTACAATTTCACTTGAAGTATCACTGGACAACTATCACGTGTTGTTATGGAGCAGCGCCTATCTATGAACCCATAAGGAGTCAAATCTGAAACTTGAAAGTCTTGAAACTAACTTATAATTCTTAAACCTACTAGGTAAACGTTCAACGGTATAATTTCAACTGTAATCATTCGTTTTGATGTAACATGATGATCATCCAACTCATCAGTACAGTGATGAGAGGTCTTAGTATCTACTGCTTCCTAACTTTTAATAATTCCATAGGTGATATCAATAGGTGATAAGAAAGATCTTGACAATTATTTACACCGTTCCCTTTAACTACTAAACCAATATTAACTGTGATTATGTAAGTCATTGTTGAAACTGACGACGGATTAGCTTCAAACTGTTGACAGTTTTTCAAATGAAATATCATAGAACTATACTTGATATCTTACTTGTGGTCACCGTAACTTTCCGTCATATTGTTTTTCTGTAATTACATTACTTTCTATCATTCATTGACAAAAGGCTATTTCGTTTATCTGATAATAATGAATGAATCATATTGTTTCCTGGCTAACTCTAAATAACATTCCTCTATTGATTGACAGATTTCAATACTGTACACGCAAAGTGTGTAATAACAATACAGGTTTTCCCAACTTGGAAACGAGAAAATTCATACACCCGCCACCCTCCACCTCAAATTTATAACTAATACCGTTGGATGGAAACTTTAATACTTGTAACAGACAAACCGTTGTACCACAGTGTGTTATAGTAATTTTCTCTATTGTTTTCTCTTCACTAATACATAGACATACACACATTTGAGCGTGACTGAATCCATTCCCATGGTATATATACATATATATATATATATATATGTGTAAGATTACAAAATCTTCAGTTCAAAAAATTAGGTAACTTGTGGTACGAGCTGATTTTGGATAGAGAAACATTAAAAACAGATAAGTGATGAATAACAGTTTTGTTCTAGTATGAGATTCTTCAGTAATAAACATCCTAATAGTATCAGAATGGGTTTTGTGGAGAGTTTTTAGAAATTTCACAAGTTGAAATCATGAGTCAGTTGAAGCTAGACCACCATTGAAAACCTGGAAGCACTGGACGGCCGTTTCGTCCTGGTATGGGACTCCTCAGCAGGTTTTCAATGGTGGTCTAGCTTCAACTGACTCATGATTTCAACTTGTGAAATCCTAATAGTAACTAAACTTTCAATGGTTATCAAACTAAAGTTAGTCAGTAATGTAATACTAGGATGAAACGGCCGTCCAGTGCTTCCAGGTTTTCCATGGTGGTCTGGCTTCAATTGATTCAAGACAGTGGCACAACTTCGTGGATTAGTTGAAGTTAGACATTAACACTGTTGGATGCCGGCCGGCTCAATGGTCTAATGGTCAAGCGCTTGCACGCAAGACTGGGTTCGAATTTCACGGAGGGCGGGATCGTAGATGCGCACTGTTGAGGGGTCCCATACTAGGACGAAACGGTTGGCCAGCGCTTCCAGGTTTTCGATGGTGGTCTAGCTTCAAATGACTCATGATTTCAATCGGTGAACTTTCTAAAAAATCTCCACAAAACCCTTCTGATAATAATGTAATAATATCAAATACAGTGATATCAACACTTGCCCCTATACTAACTAACGATCATATACCAACCTGTAACTAATTTAGAGATCTGATTCCTAAAGTCTTATTGAGAAACTACGGCAAGTTCAGAGATTGTTGGATTGAAACAAGTATTACCAAAAAGATGAAAAGTAAAGTAGAAAGAATAATGAAATATATTTTAGTAGAGTTCAAATACGAAATATAGTTGGTAGATGCAGACCACCTGGTTGGGGTCCGCGTGACTATCGTAACCACTTATTGGAGATTCTCGGTGACATGACTCAGAATCGATCACAATGGCGTCGGTGTATACGCTCTCCGTCTTCCCTTAAACTAAGAGATTAAAGTGGTTTCATATCTTTCTTTCTACGAACTAATTCTTTCTTCCTGTACTATGTCCTTATATACAAACTTTTCTTTATATATTACTATCATTGTATTAACTACTTCTATGAATTCGGTGTTCATCTTGTTGTGCTAATGAATGAGGTGTGGCAACTTGGACCGATGCACATATGTGCCTAGCCCTACGTTGTACTCGACTGACTGACTGACTGACTGGCTGACTGACTGACTGACTGACTGGCTGACTGACTGACTGACTGACTGACTGACTGACTGACTGACTGACTGACTGACTGACTGACTGACTGACTGACTGACTGACTGATAGTTTAAAAGGAAAAGAATGAGATCAAAGAACCAAGAGTATGGTATAAAACTAGATTAAAAAGTTAGATGCAGGATGAAAACTGAATCCAACTGTAACTCAACAACCGATTTCAAGTAGTATTACCCAATATTTCCGAGAATATATATTGCTGTTATCGAACGAGTCCTAACTAACAAGTCTAAACTTCTCGATATATACCGGCTTAAAAGTTAACAATCACATAGATTGAAATTATGTCGTAATTTACTTTCCTTTAGTCTTCTTGTAGTCTAAATCTACTATACCTATTCGAACATATGAACAAACCATATTAGTTAAACAAGTGATAATAATAATGATGTGACTTGTGCTACTAATGTCGACAGATATAAGTAGTATATATCACAATCGAAAGTGAAACACAAGAACAAACAATGGTTGGTATGGAAACGAAAGAATTGAATGACATTATGTAAATGGAGCGTTTACTATATGATTTACAGATTTTACGAAAGGATTCTATAATCTTATCTCCTAATCTATTTGATTGTCCCCATTTATGTTCTCGTTCAATGGTTAAATCAATAAGATTGGATCTTTTCATAACTGTGTCTAGAATCCATAGATTTGATCTTTTTTCCCAAATCTATAGGGAGATATCAATTAAAATTTTGAAAAAAATCTAATAATTCCGCCTGTAGCTTTTCTAGGGTTATGACCGGTCCCAAACCTGAATAAAAGAGGAGGGTTGGGTATGGAGTTAGCGACCCCATCCAGTAGAAAACTAACTCGCTTATTTTTCAATCCGAAAATAAATCGATAAATCTTACAACAACAAAAAAGAGAAAGAGAAAAAAGGAGAAAAACCCTAACAGAAAAACAGCAATAAGAAAATAAATTTAAGAAGGACAAATCAAATCCATTAAAACAGTATAGAATCAATGAATTTAGATATTGATTTGTCTGAAAAATTGTGGATAATTGGATGGTGATTGAAGGTAGTCAATAGGAAACCCTGGACACGGGTTTCGTATTACTTGGCATTCGTCACCAATGTGTACCTGTAATCTTAAAGGAACTGGTGCTCTCTGAAGGATTCGATTCAGTGTCACC